AATAATAATAATAATAATAATAATAATAATCAATAAATAAATAAAACGGGTCCATATATTCTTCTTCGTCTCCCCCTTTTTCTATCGTTAAAAAAAGCAAAATAACAATAAATAAAAAGGGGGAGTCGCAAGACATAAGAAACAGAGAAAGAAACAAAGAGAAAAAAAGAAAGAACAACAACAACAACAAAGAAGAGTAGAGTATAGATTAAAATAAATAAACATACCTACCTACATACACACACACATTACAAAAATATATAAGTAAATTTATTTTCTTTTTTCTTTTTTTCTTTCTGTATGTCTGCCCATTACAGCTGTAGACGTTCTTGCCAAAAAATCTATTTCAATCCCCTCTTCTATTCCTCTCTCTATCATCACTATTATTATCATCATTTTCTTTTTCTTTTCTTCTTCTTTTCTCTTTCTTATCTTCTTATCTCTTCTTATTAACTCACCATATGATCATTTCCCGTCCGTGGTTGAATCAACTTCTTCCAGTTGAGTGCGTAGGCATTCACAAAGGCCCGTAGTGTAGATGTCAATTGAGTGCCGGCCAATTCCACCTTTAGTAAAGTATCCGCATCCACTTGTTTTAACTCCAACACCAATGATGGACTTTTACTTCCCATTGCCTTTTCTCCTTCATTATTATTATTATTATTATTATTATTATCTTTACTCTTATCTTTATTATTCTCCTCCGCTTTCCCAAGAAGTTTATCCTCCAATCCACCACGAGTGGAAAGATAATCCCGAAGAGAATACATTCCCGCAGCGGAGGCCACACCTCCACCACTATTCTTATCTCCCCCACCCCCACCAATCGTTTTATTTTGTAATTCATCCAACATCTTTAACACCGCATGTTGAACCACAACTCCCAAATTATCTTCTTCTTTTAATTCCGGAATTCGAATGGCAATCACTGTGCGGATGAGTTCCGCCTCACTGAAAACACAATGACAAATGGATTGATATTCTTGTAATAACGCCACCACTTCCTCCGGTGTGTGTTCCGCATTAGCGCGAGTGTAGAGAGATTGTTGAATAGATGCTCTTTTCGCGGCCACTCGCTGCACGAGTTGCTCGAGGCGAGAAATAGTGACAGTGGCCCAATTCTCCACAGCGGCACAACTGTCGGTTTCAGTGAAGGCATCACGGAGACTTTGGGCGTAAACAAGGCGTTTGGGTGGCATTGTTTTTTTTATTTTTTTTTATTTGTATTTGTATTTGGGATATTATTTTTTTTATTTGTATTTGGATTCTCTCTCTCTCTCTCTCTTTTCAAGGGGAAAAAGGAATAAATAAAATAAATAGTCTTCTGTTCCTTGTTTGTTTGTTTGTTTTTCTTTGGGGAGTTAGGGAATCCTTGTTGTCGTTGTTGTTGTTGTTGTTGTTTGTATTGTATGATATTTTCTTTTTTCTACGGGTTTTAATAGTAATAAAGAAGAGAAGAGAAGAATAACACTAATAATAATAAAGAAAGAAGAAATGCCGCAAAAACAAACAAACAATCAAAAAAACTAGACTCAACACCATTTTTTTTCTTTTTTTTTCGTATAGCTGTTCACATCTCTTTCTCTCTCTTAAATTTGACAGAAAGCCCAATAGAAACAATGACATTAGAACGAGAATACCCGTACAGATATATATATATATATATTTCCTGCCGTTATTATTATTATTATTATTATTATTATTATTATAATCGCCGTTTTTTACCCGGTGGTCTTCCACGTTTACGCCGTCCATTATTATTACTATTATTAGAAGTTGCCGTTCCTCCTGCAGATGTTAACTTTGTTGATGTTGTTGATATTTCTTTTCCATCTTCCTGAACCCATTCTGTCATTTCTTCACTACGATCTCGCCTTTTATTCCCCACTTTTTCTTCTTTACTTTCTTCATTTTTTCCTTCTTCATTTTCTTTTTTGTGTGGATTTAAACGGCCAATGGTGTGGGCTTGGCGGGTAAACTCCACCGGACTTGGACTCCGCCTTGCAAACACATACACCGGCAGACGTGCGGAGATGACATTAAACGGCGGTTCCTCACACTCAGCGTTATTATTACTATTATAATTATTATTAATATACAGATGGTTATCATGATAATTTCCATCGGGTGTTGCCGAGAGACCGACACTACGACGTCGGGATGGCACTAATCGCTGCTGCAGTGGAGAGACCACATCTCCCACAATATCTACGTAATCATTCTCTACACTTTCCTCTTCTTCTTTAATATTATTATTTATATTATTATTATTATTATTATTATTATTTTCTTGTTGTTGGGGTGAGTAATAGAAGGATTGCTTTCTTGGCGATGGTGTGAGGACATCACTACACCCATACAATTTATTATTATTATTATTATTTTCTTCTTCTTCTTTGAATTTATCACCCAAAAGGCGATTATGCCCTACAAGAAGAGAAATATTATTTTGTTTTAACGGTGTTCCTTCTATTATTGTTTGCTGCCGTTGTTGTTGTTGTTGTTGTTGAAGTACAGGCGGTATATAAAGAGGCCGATAACGTGCAATTCGTTTACCATTTACCTCTACAAATACAGGGAATATATTCTTTTCTTCTTCTTGTTGAGATGATATCGGTTCTTCAACTCCTATTCTTCTTGTTTCTATGATTGGATTTTCCATATTCCCATTAATACTACTACTAGAATGATGATGATTATTATTATTATCATTATTATTATTATTATTATTATTATCATTACGCATTTGATTAAACAATACACGTGCTGTTGATGTTGCTGTTGTTGAGGATGATAATAACAACGATGAGGAGAATGATGTGAATGGCAACGCTTCCCGCTTCTCTCCACTAAGCGTCACAGTTACACTCTTCTCACTATCACTATCACTATTATTATTATTATCATTATTATTATTATTACTATGATTAATATCCTCTGGACGAAGTGGTTGTAAAACTCCCCCTTCTTCATCAAAGGGATTTTCCAAAAAGGCCACCACATCATTTTCATGTAAACAACGACTTTCACCCCATGGTAGTGGAGTATCATTTACATAAAGTGGATTACACCCACAGTTAACAAGACGGTAATGTGGTCCATGAAATACACTTGGATCATCATGATCCTTTTCACTTCCATTCTCATCTTTTCCATTATTATTATTATTATTATTATTATTATTATTATTATTATTATTATTATTATTATTATTCTTCTTCATATGTATATCTTTACTACTACTGTTGCTGTCGTTGCTCATACTACTTCCACGACTACTGTCAATATCTATGATCTTACTCTTATCACTATTATTATTATCACTATTATCTTTATAATGATTACTAGTATGCCCATTATTCATAGTCTTTGCCTGTGTGCCATTGACGAATCTCTGCTTAGCAGGTGGATAAATAGAAAGAATAACTTTATGAATGGCCGCATCACTTACATACACCACACGGCAATGAAGTCGACTCACACAAACATGTCGTAATCGACACGCCTCTGGTAATTGTGTATGTCGACCAAAGGCTACATGTGGTATCTTCTGCAGCCAATCCTTAACAGCTATACGATAACGATTAGATGTTGATGATGTTGTTATTGATGTTGTTGACTCGTTGGATTTCTTTTTCCCTCGTTTTTTATTCTTTTTATGATTTCGTTGACGTTTTTCTTCTTCTGCTAAACGTTCTGCTTCTATGCGTTCACTTGTCTTGTGTCTATCCTCATCCTCATCTCGCCATTGGGAATAGAATGGGAGTAACAGTGATGTCTGGGGAACTAAAGGGAGCAGGACATCATCGTTATTACTACACCCGTTAATAACTTTCAGTCTCCACATCCCACTGGAGGATTTATTTTTTTCTTTTTTCTTCTGGTAGAGACGGATTCTATAAAATAATAATAATAATAATAATAATAATAATAATAATAATAATAATAATAATAATAATAATAATAATAATAATAATAATAATAAATAATAATAATAAATTAAATAAATAAATAAATAAATATATATATATATATAGTACAATTGATAAGGGGCGCCTTTTTTCTTTTTTTTTTCTCCCTTTTTCTATATTATTATTATTATTATTATTATTATTATTATTATTATTATTTTTGTTTCTTTTTTTTTCCTTTTTGGTGGTGATAGCTGCGGATCTAGTTTTGAATGTTTTTTTTTTTTCTTCTCTTCTTCTTTAAATGTATACTCTTTTCTTTTCCCTTCTTTTTTTTTTTTCTTTCTTATTTCCTTGTTTTTTCTTTTTTGTTGTTATTATTGTAACTACTGCACGACTCACCTCTCAATCGAAAGATCCGTTTTTTTTTTTTTTTTTTAGAGGAAAAGTCAAAGCTAAGAAAGAAAGAAAAGAAAGAAAGAAAGAAAGAAAGAAAAGAAAAAAATGAGACTTCTTTATTTCACTCTCACTCTCTCTATATATCCCCAACATCCTATTTAAATAAAAAAAAACTCTCACAATTACATATTCCATTGAATTCGATACACTTTACAAACAATTCCTCTCTCTTCTTTTATTGTGCTGGACGGGCGAGTGGTTCATTTACAAGCGGTGCTGGCATTGGGCCTCTATCGAGTGTGTACACCTCCCGCAGTCTTTCTTCTTCCATGAGTTCAAATAAACCACGAGATCGTTTCTTTAATTGTTGTTGAGATTGAGATTGAGATTGTTGTAATTGTTGAGGATCTTCACCTTCTTCTATTCTTCGCATCTCTTCATTGGATCTTTCTCTGGCTGCCAATTGTTCCACATCCCGTTGATGTAAAACGAGTAATTGTAGAAATACACTAAAGAAGAGTAAACCAACAACGAGTTTTGGTAAACGAGAATATTTGGAATCTAATGTTGGGGCACATTTGGGGCATTTACACCAGAAACGATAACGATCATGTAAAACATATTGTCTATTATCAAAAGACCAATTTGGGGGAATGTAACTAATAAGAATTTCTGTACCGGCTGGGATCTTTACAGTGGCTCGACAACAGAATAAATATTCCACAGGTGCAGTCAACGTTAAACTATCTTCTTCTTCTTCTTTCTCGTTCTCTTCCGTACTCTTATTACTATTACTACTACTCTTATTACTATTCTTACTACTATTACTAACACTATGATGAATACTACTACTATTACTACTATTACTATTGCTGTTGCCGGTATGGATAGTATTCTTTAAATGAGAATGATAACTCTTTTCATTCTTCTTCTTCAATACACTATTATTATCAGAGATTTTATCTTTTTCCTCTGCCTTTTCCTTTTCCCCTTCCTCCAATTGATCCATATAATAATCTGTTTCCTGAAAAGTATGTTCAGGAATAATATCATAAGTTGCATTTGGAATACAACTATGATTTAAAAATCCCGCTTCTGGAAAGTATGCCATTCCTTTTCGCTCTGCATAGAAAGATTCTACAAGAAAACTATTCATATCAATAATAGCCGCTAATCGTGCAATGTGAATTTCATGTAATTCTAATGCATATAATACCTTCTTCCCACCAATACGCTCTAATACATGTTGAGTGGCGGTGATAGGCCAATACTCTAATAAAGATGAGGGTTGACCAGTAAGAATCCAATCATGTAAATAATCCAAATCTTCTGATGTACCTTCATACACTTTTAAAAGTATATCTACACACATTTCCTCTAATCTTTCTATTTCACTCTTTACACCGAGATTTCGTGCGGTTTGATGAACAATCATAATAGTTTCTCCAGCCTCTATATCTCTTGTAGCAAATACACCTCTTCCTGTTAATGTGAAACTATTCTTAATCACCGCATCTTGTATGACTTTTCCATTCTTTTGTGGTAATTGTTGATGAAGTATAGATCGATGTTGTAATCCACGAAAATGATGAGGAAGTGTTAATAATGATGATGAAGAAGTTGTTTCGTTTTCTTTTTCTGCTAATCGTGGATGTTCAAATCCCACTTCCCCAGTTCCCGCTACTTTAATATGTCCATCGCCGTGTAAAATAAAAGGTCCAATGGGTGTATTTCGTACCCATGGATGTACAGCCGGCGGTGGAAAGGCCACAAAGTGATCTCGTCTTCCATTCATTAATAAAGGTAAATCTTTATTATTATTATTATTATTATTATTATTCATATTAATATCTTCACTGGGATAATAATAATGATGATAATCATCATCAGCCGCAATAAAGACAATAGACATGCGTTGATGTTTACGAATACGACGAAACTCTGGGGCGATATCGTCTGGATGTGTGGGGGAAATTAACTGCGAGTTTCGCAGGAGACGTGCATTTTCCACCGACTCTGCTCGTGCGGTGAGAAAGTCAGAGACTTCGTGAGAAGTATCCATAGTGAGATCCTTCTTTATATGTGTATGTGGATCTTCACATCTATTTATATCGTTTTCTTCTTTTCGTTCTTCTTGTTGTTCTTTTTCTTCTTTTTCCCATTCTTGAGGAATAACACGTACGCGTGGATAAGTAGTGGTAGGGGTTTGCGTATCTACACGTGCACGTTGTAAAGGAATATCATCAACATTATCATCAATATCATTATCATTAATATCATTATCATTATGATGATTACTACTCGTCGTCCTTGTATGAATACATTTATCCTTTTCCGTTTCTTGCTTGATGTTATTATAATAGCGATAAGATGTGATGATAGTATTATTATTATTATTATTATTATTATTATTATTATTATTATTATTACTATTAGTAGTAGTAAAGGGGATAACTATTATGAAAGTTGATGATGTGAGTAATGATGATGATGATGTTGTTGTTAATATTGGAACTGCACGTACACACCGGTGTGGAAGACCAGGCGGGCAGCACAGACGACTGCGGAGCATCACACACGGACACTCTACTCACCTACACAGATAAATAGATAGATAAATAAAGAGATAAATAAATAAATAAATAAATAAATAAATAAATAAATAAATATATATATAAATAGATAGAGAAATAAGAAAATATATTGGGTAATGGAAAATGAAGCCCACAAGGGTAAAAAAAAGCAATAATAATAATAATAATAACAACAACGGGAAAAGAATAGAAAGGTTTATATATATATATATATATATATATAGTGGCAAGTAAAAAAAAAAAAAACAATAATAATAAACAAATAAAAAAAGAAATAATTCAAATAAAAAAACAACTTTATTTCCCTCTTATCATTCCAAATCCCTTTCCATCTCTTGTAATAAGTGTTGTTGTGTAGATAGTTGCACTTCCATTAATTCCTCCACTTTACAAGGAGAACCCACACGAAAAAATAACGCCCGTTTATCATATTTCCCATCACTTCCCACTCCACCAAATACCGCTCCCCACACCGCACGATTCCACGGTGGAATAAAATACCGTTGATGCCATTTACACAATTCTTCACAAACTATATTATTCATTCTCATATCTTTACTTATTCCTTCTTCTTTAGATCCCACAACTCCCTCAGAGACTAATGAAGATGATGATGATGATGATGATGATATTCGTTGGAGTAATGGATATTGTCGTTCCTGCAATTGTGTATACAACTCAGGTAGTTGTTGTTTCACTCGTACATCCCGACGGGCGACTGTCTTATCTATATAAAGAGTGCGAGGAAGACCCGCAGAAACAACAGGTCGTATTCGTGGAGTCTTTATATTATTATTATTATTATTATTATTATTATTATTATTATTATTATTATTATTATGAGAGATATTTGTATTCATATTAGCAGCAAGCATGTGTTTTCCCTTTTCCGTTAAAAAGAGTGCCAGTGGATAACCAAAGGATGATCGCAACATTAGAGATTCATCATCTTGAGAAGCCTTTATATTATTATTATTATTATCACTATTAATATGAGAAGCCGTTTCCTTCTCTATAGATTCACTATACAGAAATGACTGTAAATGCCTTTGACGACTCTGCCAATAAACTTCAAAGGGCATCACCGAATAATAATAATAATATGAAGATGAAGATGTTAATAATTGCAGACGTGTATTAAATAATAATGGATTTCTTGGACAAGCCCAGAATCCAACTAACTCTATCCAATGTTGTGGTGTAAACACTAAATACATCACCTCCTCTTCTTCTTCTTTTTCTTTTTCTTCTTTATGGTGATTATTCATATTATTATTATTATTATTATTATTATTATTATTATTATTAGTATTAGTATTATACAGATATGATGATGATGATGATGATAATAGTTCTTTTTCTTCTTCTTCTTCCTTCTCAAAGGTCATCTGTGTAGGAATACATAGACATTTGGTAATCCAATGAGAAACCGCATGTAATCCCGCACGCCGCAGGTGCTCTATACTCTCCAACGGCACTTGTCGAAGTAATGGATCTATTAAACAGAAACAAAATAAATAAACTCCAAAACATAATTGACAAGTAAAGACTTCCCAAATATTAAGCGCAACATCACGAAAGTTTAATACCATACAATGTCTTTCTTCCAATCTATCTAATTCTTTTAATATCGCTAATTTATCAGCAGCGGTTTGAGTACGTAATGGTAAAGACCAAAAGAGTTCTCGTATTTGTTGTAATTCACAATAAAATAATAAACGTTCATTGTTTGTGACTCCCACACTTACTGGTCGAGTTTGTAATGATTGTTCCTTTAATAATAATGCGGCATATCGTTGCATAATAGATTGGAGTTTTAACTTTTCTAAAGAAATAAGGGCTTCTATTTCACGATGGGCGATGGTGGTGTGTTGATAATGTTGATAAGTGTAATAAACACCAGTGGTGAAAGCAGCACCGGCAAACCATACCGTTAAACGTGGCATATAAATAAATAAATAAATAAATAAATAAATAATAATAATAATAATAATAATAATATCTAGAAGAAAAGTTAAATAAATAAATAAATAAAATGTAATGTAATGTAATAGACCCCTTTATATATATTTGTGGATGGATGGATGTATGTGCGTTAATGATATTGGTACCTCTTTTCTTTTTTCCCTTTTGGTTCTCTCTCTCTTCTCTTCGCCCCTTTTTTCGTTTGATTATTTGGGCTTCATTGGATGAAATAATAGCCATGAGAGTAATATAGGAATAATAATAATAATAATAATAATAAACAATAAAGAAAAAGAAAAAAAAAGAGAAACAAATATTACTTTTTTTTACACTTTAAGAAATAGTAACAAATACCACGTAAAGGAAAACTTCCAATTGTTCGTTTTTTTCTTTTCTTTCTCTTCTTTTTATTAATATTCGAAAAAGCCACTCTTCATCTCTCACTTAATCCTTCTAAATCACATTGCGATTATAACCGGTATCTTCAATACCAAATATAATAAAAAAAAACAAAAAAAAATCAAAAAAATCAAAGAAAAAACCATAGCAAGAACAGATTTGACATTTAATAAATAATAATAATAATAATATTCCTCTCTTGTGAGGATATATATATATATATATATATTGTTTATAATTATTCCAATATTATTATTATTATTATTATTATTATTCCTTATTAAATGTTACTGCCCAAACCTCTTCCACACAAACCACCCCACTGTTGCCAACGGTACGGCTCGTGTACATAAAAAGAAGCCCAAATGTGTCCATGATGATGTATAGATAGCTCCATACGCAGGATAAACATCTCTAGCCATTCCCAAATGTTGTTTTACATGTAGTAAAAGTCCTTTATGATCAGAAGCCTCAAATTTCTCATTAAATAATATATATCCATCACGAGGTATCAATTTAGAGATTTCCCCTTCTTTCTTATTATTATTATTATTATTATTATTATTATTATTATTATTGGGTAGTAGATAGGATGCGGTTTCTGCGGTAATAGAGCCATTCTCCTCTAGTATTTGAATGCCTTTCTTTTCACCATTCCCTTCATTTCTTCTCTCATACTGTGGAGAGAGAACTTTCATATTACTTAACAATAACCAATCTAACTTTCCACGAACAAATCCATGATAGGCCGGGTGATCCAATGTGATGGATAAGGCCTTATCACTCATATCATATAAACAAAGATGTCGATTATCAATGAAAGCGATTTCCTCCGCATTGAATCCATATACCCATCGCCAAACCAAATAACTATTACATATCCAATCATATAATAAAGAGATAATATAAGATGGAAAACGATAGGAGAAAGGACAACAACCACGAGTAATACTATTCATATATCGTGAAAGAACTTTACGTTGTAACCAACAGGCTTCTTTTTCACCAATACTAAAAAATCGCATACGATCGGTTCCATATCGAGAAGAAAATCGTACAATACCATCTGCCATTGTATTAAAATCTCCACCAATTATAAAAGCTGGATGGGAATAAAAATTATGTAGTGATAGTGGTTGAATAGGAAATGATTCCCTTGACTCTTTCGTGTTTTCCTTTTCAAGAATACTATTCATATCTCGAAAGATATCAAGAAGTTGTCGAACTCGTGCAAGTGTCCCACAAAATACTTCAAAATGACAACAATATACATAAAGATTTGGTAAAAGAGTATTAGTTCGTGAATGCGGTTGAATACAACAACGGAGAACACTACGGAATCCATGTCGAGGTTCATGCAGTTTCCATCCTTCTTTTTCCCAATCAATACCACACGTGTGGGGAATAACAAAGGCATCTGTAAGAGTAGCAGAGGCAGAAAGAATAGCATTCCCATGAAAATGACGTTTTTTTTCTTTTTCTTCTTTTTCTTGTGATGAAAAATGATGATTATCCTCATTCTTCTCTTGTGTAGATGAGAGTGGACCCACGGCATGTTCTAATGGACGATCCACCGCGTCCAGTTCTTCAAATTCACATACAAAATAAATTTGCATCTGTAATGCCTCTGCCAATTCACGTGGTACATTACGATAATTCGATCGTTTACAATTAATATCTAATTCTTGTAATATCAATATATCTGCAGGAAGAGCACGTAGGGTTTCTACAATACGATCAAATTGTATTCCTCGTTCAATATTCCATTGTACCACACGTAATTGATCAGAGAGTTTTCTTTCCTTTGCAGTGGCTGATCGGTAATCATAATGAAGTAAACCACCTGGCTGTAGTGAGGCCAGTTGAGGTTCATCCATATTAGGAGTGCCTTCAGTCACTTTACTCATTGGATAAATATATATATATATATATATATATATATATATATTTATATAATCACGGGCACCTGTGTGAATTCAAAAAGAAAAAAAAAAGAAAAAAAGAATCAAGAACCATATTCGTCCATGGGGAAAATACATCACACAATCAACATCACATCAAAAGAAGAAAAAAACAAACAAACAAACAAACTCGAACGAATACGAGAAAAAAAAAAGCACGATGATAATAATGATAATAGTAGATACTTTTTTTTTTTTCTCACTTAAACAACCAAATCCGACTCGTCCAGACCATCCGTTAGTGCTTCATTCACCATTGTAAGAGCACTCCTCACATTTGTTGTTGTTGTTGTTGTTGTCTGTTTCCCTATATTCTTTGCAGCCGCAGCCGCATCCGCCTCATTTTGTTTTTTCAATTGTAATTGTTTCTTTTTCTTCTGCACCATTTTCAATCGAAAGAACTCCTCCCGCTCCTGTTCATCCAATTCCGAGGTAATATAACTCAATGTATTCTGTACACGTGGAATCACCACTTTTTCTAATGCATTCACACGACGATTGGTGACTTTCTGGGCGAGATCCAATGTGACCCAACTCACCTGTAAAGAGGCAATGCGAACTAACAACTTTAATGTTTCTCGAAAGGCAAATCGGGCTTCTTTTAATTGTTCCCCACCGCGGCCTAATCCCGCCATTCCCGTTTCTCTCCATCCTTCTCCTCCAGGCCCATCCGCATCCAATAATGCGTGTTGTTCGTGAAAACTTGGCACCCGAACACCGGCGATATTATCCACATGCAGTGTCATTGCATACGTGGGGAGTTTTAAAGATTCCTGCACGGCCAAAGAGATATCACCGGCAATAAATTGCGCTTGTGTGATGGTAAAGTAGGATCCTTTGATTTGTTCCACCATCTCCAGTTTGGCCTGTCGTAATTCTCCCATGGTTTTACGATAGCGAAGGGCCAACGCATCGGCTTTCTTTTTAAGAAGTGAATGTCCCTTTTGGGCACCTTTCAGGCGAGTTTTAAAGGCGATAAGAGACATGCGACTCGGTAAGGCTGGATAGCGATTGTTGGAGGACATTTATGCACAGAAAAAAAAAAAAAAAACTTGGAAAACGCAAGAAAATTTAAAAAAAAAGGCAATAATAATATTAATATTAATAATGATGATATATTAGTAATAATTACTAATAATATATATATATATATATATATTTATCACCTTTCTTTTCTTCTCCTTTTTTTCTCCCTATTATTATTTATTATTTATATTTTCTTTTCTTCCTTTTCGTTGCTGCAGTTGTTGTTTCTTCTTCTTTTGGTTCTCCTGATGTGCAGAAACCCTCTTATCCCTACACTACGCTAACACCACCAATCACCCAAACATCAATAATAACAAAAAATAAAAAAAAATAAAGATAATAATAAAAGAGAAAAAGAAAAGGAATAAGCAAATAACAAAAGAAGTTCACAAACAAACAAACAAACAAAAGAGAAAAGGAAACGGAACTCATACTTTACATGATTTTTTTTTTATTTTCTTTTTGTTTTGTCTTTTCATTAACCCAATCCATCCCTCACTTTCTCTTTCTCTCTTTCATTTTCTAGATCCTCAAAAAATAACCATTTATGAATGGTAATATTAATATTTGTAAAAAAATTCTTCCCACAATGTCATGTATCCGTTACTAATTTTGTAGTCACCAAACAATTATAAATGTGATCGCTAATTTTTTTTTTTTTTTTGATTCAACGCCTTTTTTTCGTATTCGTTCTTTTTCTTTTTTCTTTTCTTTTCCTCTTGTCTATTTTCATATTTTCGTTGTTGTTGTATGCATCTCATCATCAGAGGGAGGCATTTCTATACTTTCCTCTTCCTTCTTGGTATTGGTTTCTGTTAACATGGGTGGAGTAGAGAGAATAGAAGCCGATGCCGCTCGTTCCTCTGCTGTCCATTCTTCCATTGGTGGAATTTGTTGTTCCGTCTTGGTTACTTCTTGCCGTAAATACTGCGCAAAAGCCGCTGTAAATTGAAATGCAATTTTCTTTGCTTCTGCTAAATATCGAGTAGCCTGTGCATATTGTTTCATCGATATATATACACGGGCAATATGATTAAAGGATTCTGCAGTAGCGGTTTCACATGTTTCTCCTCTTGTTCGACGGATATTTAATGCCTTTTCATGCCATTCTATTGCCTCACGATATCTTTTTTGTAAATGACAACATTGTCCATAAGTGGTATACACATCTGCTTGGGCAAGTACATTAGAACGAGCTGTTTTTGTATACATATCTAATGCTAAATTACACATCTTTTCACACTCTGTTACTTCTTCTCGATGAAGATGTAATAAGGCGAAATTACTATAAGAATAGGCTACCGTAGCGTGGGTTTCACCTAACATTTCAATACGTATATTTAATGCCTCTCGTAAACACCGTTCCGCTTTGGTATAATGATGAAAATCTAAATAAAGTAAACCGAGATCATCCAAGACATCTGTGAGAAAAGTTCGTTGAAGTGGTTCAATCGTGGCATTCATACGAAATTGTTCAATCGCAAGAAGAAAATACGCCTCTGCATGACTTTCCCGTCGAACAGCATACGCATCCCCAAGTTTATGATATAAAAAGGCAAGTTGTGGATCTTTAGGATTACTTGCTTTTCGTAATCGCACCGCATCATGTAAAAGTTGAATCCCACGATCTAATTCTTGTCTTTTTATTAATAATGAGGCAAGAAAGGTATACGCTTCTGCGAGTTGTGGGGCTTGTGGACCAAGTGCGGCCCGCAGAATTTCTATTCCCCGTTCATATGTTTTCTGTGCAGTTATATAAGCCTCACATAATTCCTCAATACGACCAAGTTTCACTAATTCCATTCCATACAAAACGGAATCTTGACCAAGTGCCTTTGCGTAGATTTGACAACTACTTTCATAGAGACGACGAGCCTCACGAAATTGTCGACGAGCCGCGAGAAGTGCGGCTTTACTACTCGTTGCCTGTGCAGTCGCAGGCGCATCTCGTCCAAGTGTGGCTATACAGATATCTAAACATTCATTTATACACATTTCTGCTCCTGTGGCATCATTAATCGTTTTCTTCACCTCACAGAGTTTATTTAAGGTTTGGGCAATAATAGGACGATACTTATTATGTCGTGAATAGAGAAAACGACGAATCTCTAAAGCTTCTTCTAAAAACGCAATAGCACGATGTTCTTCCTTTTGTAATAAAAACAATTGAGCACAATCTGCAAGGGCATGTGCAGCAGAAGCGAGTGGATGTTTTTGTGGTTCTGTTAAAGCCGCAGCCGCTGCAGTGGTGTTAGCATTATCTGGTAACCAAGAATTAGCTGCATGATTATAAGAAACATCTCGAAAGATTTTAATACTCTCACGAAATGCCTTTTCCGCCTCCTTTAAAAAATTTAAATGTGTATAGGCAAGAGCTAAAAGTGCAAGACTCTCTGCATATCGAAGAGATTGTTTTCCCTCAACTTCCTCATAAATAGCAGCGGCTTCTGTTAAGGCATTCTCTGCGGCCCCGGGTTCTCGCATATCTAGAAAGACTCGACCAATATTATGAAGAGTAGCCGCACACTTGACGTGAATAGGACCATACTTTTCTCTTCTCATTGTTAGCGCACGATCATAGAGACTAATCGCATCTCCATAGTTTTTAGTCTGATGAGCCACTTTAGCAAGATCATTACATTCTTCACCAAATTCAAAGGTCATGGGAGCCCGACCAGCGGCTTCTCGAAATCCTTTTGGGGCATATTGTCGAGGTCCAATTGCTCGTTGTTGAATATATAAGGCATTACTAAATAATAATAAAGAAGAAGATGAAGATTGTTTTTGTTTTCCTTCTAGTACTGCACGTATAGTAGGACTACGACATCCCATTAATTGAAGACGTGATGGTCCTGATAGTGTACGCCAACAACTGGATTCTCCCATCCATGTAGACGTAATGGCCATCATCTTCACTGTAGAGACAGGTCCTCCATTGGAAGCATGTACAAGATGGAGAGTCTTCATATTTATATATATATAAATATATATAGACCGGTTTATATCTATATTACAAATATGATGTTTCGCTTATATTATTTGATGTATATTCTCCTCAAACGGTGAAGGGTGGGCACCTATCACGGAAGGAGTCTCTGTTTTCTTATCTTTTATCCCTAGATGCATATATACATAAATAAAAAGAGAAAAGGAAAATAAAGAAATCAACACATTAAATAATGACGATGATAACGATGTATTCATAATAGATTAGAGACACTTAACACACACACACACACATATTACCAGAAGAGCCCATTTTTCACAAGAGAGATGTTTTTTTTTTTTTTTTCCATCCCAATAGTATATATTCTCTATTTCCAAAAAAAAAAAAGAAACACTACAAATAAACAACACATTTACAACGATCTTGTAATACTGTAAATAATGTTGTACACGCAAACGTTTACATTTTCTATTGCTTACGTGTACATTACGTTGTTTATATATATATATATATATATGTATATATATAATGTAGAAATATTGGTTTGTTTGCGTATGTGTTCGCAGATACTCCCGCAAAGTTCCATATTTACAGCAATAACAATCGCTCAAACACGCACAGAGAGAAAGTAAAAAAGCGAGAATATGCGAGAATAGGAAAAAAAGCAATAGTAATAGCAGCAGTAAATAGGACAACAAAAGAAGTGAATCCCCCACACCCATCACAATAATAATAATAATAATAATAATAATAATAATAATAATAACAATAATAAAGAATATACATTCGTGTCCACAGTCCCATATATATATATATATAGACAATAAATAAATCAACAAGCAACATAAGGAAGGGGGGAAAAGGGAAAAATAAGAAAACGAATAATTACAAATACGAGATTCGACAGGTAAGAAAGTGTATTAACAATAATACGAAAAACAATAAGAATCAGCAAATCAATGGAGAAAAAAAAAGGAAAAAAGAAAAAAAAAGAAAAATGTAGAGCCTTTTATTTTCTTTTTCTCTTTCCATTCACTCTGTCCTTTTCCTCCTCTTCTTCATATCAAAACAAACACAAAGAGAGAAGAAGATAATGCAAAAAAAAAAAAAAAAAATTACAACACGAACAGAATGATATGGAAGTAATAAATAAAAAGAGAGAAAGAAAATTAAACTAGAAAGCTTTCTCTCTGGACCTTCACGACCTTTAAATAAATAAATAAATATATATATATATATTTATCACGTCTTTTTTTTATTTTCCATTGCTTTCTCAGTTTATCCTCTTCTTTTCTTTTTATTATTTCACTGTGTTATTTTTCCCTCTTTATTTTCTCACTTTTTCCTTTCTTCTTTTCTACTTTTTTCTTTCGAATTTGTTTTTTTTATTATTTCTTTCTTCTATGATGTTTCTTTTTATTTTTTTCTCATCTATTCCTATTATTTCTCCTTCTTTTTTTTTTTTCTTTTCCCCTCTTTCCTTGCCCCCGCATGAAGGGGAAATAGATAGATAGATAGATAGATAGAGAGAGAGAGAGGTGAATTCCCTTTGCTTTGTGGATTCATGCATAAAGGCAAGAGGAAAAAAAAAAAAAAAAGAAAAAAAGAAAGAATTAAATATAATAGATAGATAGATAAAGAGATATAAAGAAGGAAGGAAAAAAAAAAAAGGCAACCACATTCTATCTTTTTTTTTTTTCTTTTCTTTTCTTTTTCTTTGGATAGTTTACTCGTGTGCCACCACACAGACATCTCGTCCATTACTAACCTCACTCTCTCCATTATTCATATTCGTCTCTTTTCTCTCTTTCATATTATTATTATTATTATTATTATTATTATTATTATTATTATTATTATTCTTATTCTTCTTTCCACGACTACTATTACTACTTCCGCTGTTGCCAATATCGCTAGAACTACTAGCAGGCCTTACTCCCGTTCTTTTCTCTTCAGATTCCTCCTCTTCCTCATTATTATTATCATTATTCTTATTATTATTATCATTATCCTCCTCCTCCTCTAACTCTTCATCATCTTCTTCTTCTTCTTCTTGTAGAATTGAAGGACCATCAAATAATAATAACTGTGCTTGAACGGCTAAAGGCAATTTATCGTGCTGTGCAGGATCGTGAAATGGTGTTTGCCATAACTGTCCAAAGGCAGCAAGCACACAGGCAACATTCTGCACATAATGTGTACCATCTTCTATTGGAATACCCGCATTTCCATTTCCATTCCCACTACTCAAATCATCCTCATCATCTTCTTCTTCTTCTTCTATTTCTTCTTCTTTTTTTTCTCTATTCTCATTGTAATTTTTCACTTCATCCTTTTCCCCTTCCTTCACTTTGGCCTTCACCGTTTTTAATTCTATTGCCTTATGTTCCTCAGTATCTACAGAATGACCAGCCGCATCCTTTTCTAACGGTTGTCGTTGCCGCAGCGTACGTTTAATATAAGGAAGGAGTAAATTAATATCATTTACACCTCCTCCAGACTTTTTCTGTTGTTGTTGTTGTAGTGCAAATTGTAAATACTCATTAAGTTCCGCATCACTTTCATCTGCACACAATATACCTTCATGATCGGAGATGGATGTACTGGTGGTAGTTGCTGTGGATCCATGCCGTTCAACATGAGACTTTGGACTTAATTGTGCCATTCCAACACGACTTGCTGGAGTTACTACAGTCGCTGCAAGAGCCGTGGGGGTTAAGGAATTTGTACTGAATGAGGATAGTGTTTTGGAAGAGTTTATATCATTTACATTATGGGATGATGATTCTAACGGAAGAACACTCTTTGAAGACATTTCATCTCGCATTAAACGACGTAGTGGGGATCGGGATGCAGATGAATTTCTTGATAAGGATTCCGCTGTGGGGTATGCAATATTCCAAGAGGCATTATTCGCATCTCTTCCACGTGAATGTTCAGATACTCTCACAGGTGTTGGGGATTCTAACATCTCACCATTTCTTAATGGTGTGATATCAGGCGTTTCATCTCCTACAGAAGCTGTTTGTATGTGTATCGGTTCTCGCATCAGCGATGATTCTCGTTCTTCTACATGTTGTTCTTCTTCTACTTGTTGTTGTTCTTGTTGTTCTTCTTTTTCTTCTTCTTCTTTTCCTTCTTGTGTGGATTGATCTAATAATCCTGGTGTAATCGGATAGGTCAACGTAACATCTATAGGCGATAAATATTCTTCATAATATAAAGGTTTCGGTCTCACTTTAGATTTCTTCTTTTTCGTACTAGATTCTATTGGTGTAGTATTACCAATTTGTTTCTTTTTCCGTGTACGTGGGGGTGTTTCTGCGGGTACTGGTATCGCTGAAAGAGTTTTCTTCTCTACACTTTGGCGATTACCACCAACACTAACACTACTAATATCATGATTAGTTACACGTTTTAATGTTCGTGTCTTTAATTTATTCCCTCCACGGTTTTGTTGAATCTTATCAAGAGGTTTAGCAGAAGTATCGGTATGAGGTGGTGTACTTCCAATTCCAATGGATTTATTACCATGTGAAGGTGTACTAAGAAGAATATGCCGTGTAGGGCCTATAATACTCTTCTTATCCCGTTCTCCCATCATACTATTAGTAGATATTGTTGTTTTTGTTGTTTCTGTTGGTGGTACGAGTACAGTAGGTTGTAGTATATTATGACCTTTAATAGGGGTTGAGAAAATCTTCTCTAATGGTTTTTCTGGTGTTTCTATAATAATAGACTCATGATTTATCATTTTAGTTGGTTGTGTTTTTAGTGAAAGAGTACCGACAAATACTTCATGCATACGAGGTTTCACTTTCTCATCCTTTTTCGCTTCACCAACAGAGAGAACGGAGTAACCGAGTTCAATAGATGTGGCATGTTGTCGTTGTAATACTTCTCGGGCTTCATGTTCTGCTTGCGTAAGAAGAAGTCGTTCAAAGTTCTCATCACTACGTAATGTAAAGAGTGGATTAGAGAGAAGTTCCTCTACCTTTTCCGTATCCATATCCAGAAGAAGCAAAGAGGATGGGGATCTCGATTGTTGTCGCTGTTGTGATTGTTGTTGTGATACTGAGGATGGGGATATGGATGGCAGTGGTGATTTCTCAATCTTTTCATTATGGCTAAGAAGTTTTCTTTCTACTACTACTTCTTCTTCTTCTACTTCTACTTGGTGATTCCTATTCACAATAGGGGACTCATGAACGACGGAAAGAAGTTCCATAGATAAATCTCCTGTATTCATTGTAGAGAGTGGATGAACATGTGAAGGTAGTAATGGTCTCTTGTTCGTGCTACCAGTTAAGGAGGATGATAATGGCAGTGTACCATTTCCAACAGCATTTTCTCCTGTATTATTATTATTATTAGTAGTAGTAGTAGTAGTAGTAGTAACTGCAGGTGGACGATCTTGTCTTAAGAAGCTGTTAAGAAGAATAGAAGAAACCATTATATCGTTATCCGAGCGTCGATTGAGTAGAAGGGTTGGATGTAATTCCATTCCAGGAGGAATTGTATTAGAATGACCACTGAGAGACATCATGGAACCCTTCTGTAGACCATCACTGCTATTCATATTCGCATTATTATTGAATAAACTCATACCGTTATTATTATTATTATTATTATTATTATTATTATTATTACTACTACTATTATTATAATTATAATTGTTGTTTCCATCTAGAGCAAATAATCGTGTACGTGGTTGTCTAAAGAAGAGTGGTGTCCCACGTGCAATGATTTGTCGTTCATTCATTAATACCGTACGAGTTCGTGTGGAATCCACAACATCCATCATTTCTTCCATTGGATCCATAGAAGTTGCTAGTGTGGTATATCGCGATTCACTTGGATGTGAACGTACAGATGAAGGCATAGAAACAGATCTCACACTTATAGAGTTCCGTATACTATGGCGTGGTTCTAATGAACGTAATCGTCCATTACTCCCTTGACGACTACGTTCTCGCATTAATATTGCTTGTCGACGACGTATTAACGTTTCATAATTCTGAACTGTACCTGGTCGAGTATATCGATCATATAATAAATATTCATCCTGTGGTTTTACTATACTTCGAGCCCAGGCTTCTGTTACGACAGGCCCATGTGTACGGCGAGCACTAGGGGAACGACTCTCTAAGAAGTGTGGATCCGGATAAGTATGATCACAACTCCCATATTCACTTAACACAACGGTGGTATTGCCTCCTTGGGAATAACGTAATCGTCCAACATCACTACTTTCCTCCTCATGATCATCATGTGAATAATTATGTTGTTGTTGTCTCATTGGATCTTCATTTCTATATTCTTCATACACATCATCTCTTCCACTTACCGCAACGGCAGTACTATTATTATTATTATTATTATTATTATTATTATTAGTATTATTAGTATTATTAGTAGTAGTAGATTTTCTAATAAGAGAACGGTTGGTATTTATATTTGAACGTGGAGAGTGTTTGGGTTGTAAACGTTCTAAACGTACCCGTTCAGCGCGGAGATCCTGCGCGAGGAGTAATTGCGGTGGTGAATTCGCCTCATCCGCCTCTACAGAGATGTGATCTCGTTGCATGCGGAGTTTTAACTGCGGCTCATCACTTACTCTTGTGGGTTGTGCACGTCTTCGTACATCATCATATCGTTCTTCTTTTTCTCTTTGTTGTTGCTTTTCTTGTTGCGATGGTGATGATGTTGTTGATGAATGTTGTTGTGGTTGTTGTGATGTTGTTAAGTGTGAAGAATGAGATTTCTTCTGTCCTTTCCTTCTCGTTAACTTCATAGCTGCTAATGTAGTAGAAGTAGAAGTAGTCGTAGTTGTTGTTGTTGGGGCTGCAGTGTGTGGAGCTGTGCGGGCGGTGGACGGTCCGCTGCTGTACGCCACACTTCGTGGACTCTCCGCTGCCCGTGGCTGTTGTAATAACGGCGTGGTTCTATTCATTCTCTCTATTTCCTGTTGACTTTGTTGTGGATGATGATAAGAAGAAGAAGAGTAATCCTCACTACTTACTCTAGTTGTGTGGATGGTGGCTCTGCGTATCCCACTGTTGGGTTCTTTGCTGTTGAGAGAGGAGGACAAGGAGGTGGTTGGCACTCCATGCATAACGTTGCGGCTCACACGTGGACTATATCCTTGTCGTACTACTGGCATCTCTCTTCTCTATTCTCTTCTTTATTGCCTATAATAACAGTATATATATATATATATATATATATATAGACGACAAAGGGGAAAGAGAAAGAGAAAGAGAGAAAGAGAGGGGAGGGGGAGGGGATAGTGAATCACCTATTTTTTTTTTTTCTTTTCTTTCTTTGTACCGTTTCCTTGTTTCCTTTCTTTTTTTCTTGGTTTACAATTACCAAAGAGGTAAATATAACTATTTAGATATGTTTAATAAAAAATATATCTAAATATATTCAAACCTATATTTGCAGATATAAAGATAAGAAGAAAAATTGAAGAGAAGCGAAATATACGAAAAAAAAAAAAACAAGAAAAAACACCAATGTTCATATTAGTAGTGATATTGAAAGAGTACAACCTGCCATCTCTTTTCTCTTTTTTTCTCTCAGCATTTGTTTGTATTAAACTTTATTAATGATTAATGTTTACTATTTATGTTCGTTTCGAAGCATTAGATTTAGATATATAGATAGAACAAAATTGTTCACTTATAACGAATTATCTGATGATTACTACTTTTTTTTTTTTTTTCAAATTCACTGTTGGTATACAGAGTCCATTTCTCTTTTTTTTTCTTTTTTTCTCTTTTTCTTCTTCTTTTATTTATTCTTTCAATAATGCATTCTCTCTCTCTCTCCATATATATATATATACTCAAGAAAGTTCTCCTCATCACACCTTCACTTTCTTACGTCTTTGTTGTTGTTCTTGTGGTTGTTGTTGTTTATGGGGTTTGGATAATCCCATATCTCCACTACGACTACGTTTACGAAGTAATTTTGTCGTTTCCTGCCGCAATTTCTTTTCTTTTCGTGTATTCCGTAATGCTGTGGCCTCTGCTGTTAATGCAAAGAGCACATCATCCACCGTTATTCCATTCTTATCACTCTCTCCTTCTTGTTGTTTCTTTTCCAATCGTGATCGTTTCTGTTGTTTCTCTGTAGACTTGTCAACTTCCACAGTTCCTTGAAAGTGTCGACGATGTATTTCCAGCTGTTCTCGCAGCATTGCACATGCCTGAGTGGCTAATGTACTGATTTGCTCTGAGCGATTACTACTACCCATCGCAATGGTAATTGTAGGAACAATTGTTTCTTGTATAAATGAAAGACCAATAGCACGACTGAGAAGCCAACGTAAAGCGTTATCTACATAAGATACCATATCCTCACTTATACTACTAGTAGTAGTATTTATATTATCATGATGACTACTATTATTATGATTGTTATTTATCTTTTCATTACCCTTATTGTTGTTGTTATTATTATTATTATTGGGTATAGTTGGCATAGCAGCAAGAAATCCACCAAAGTACTGCACAAGAGAAGTTGTTCGCACCATTACATTCACCACTGAACCGTGTTTAATAAGAGGTGTAGATAACGAATGTATATGTTTACAGAGAGAAGTAAAGTATGACCCCATTACATCTCGTAAATATAATACACTCTCACCCGCACGTGAGGCGGAAACGAATAAAACGATACTTATCACAGACATGGCTCGAGTGAGATAAAGAGCCACAGCCACAGCATCTGTACGTGAGGGGTGTTGAATAGCACGATGTGCGGTATATTTTTCATTCGGCACATCTGAGAGAGAGATGTATTGAAATAATATACGTAATGCGGATATAATCTCTTCAAAGGCTTGTAAGGCACGTGTAGGGGTATCTAATGTATTGGAATCTCGGAAATAAACAACATACGGCATACATGTCTTTATACTTGTAGAACTCTCTTCTTCTTCACCTTCACCTTCACTTTCTTCTTCTTTTTCTTTCTTGTTCTTGTTCTTGTTCTTCTTCATATTCCTTTGTTTATGTATTTTCATAGTATTTGCAAGTCCAACTGTATCCCATGCCTCATCTGACATATATGCACATCGTGGTTCCACTATATCATGACAATACATTCGCATTAATCGTAATGCGGCTGCTTGAATCCATGGATGAGTATGTATAATAAGACGATTAACTATACAAGGTATTAATTCTATAGTTAATGTATCTAACCACATCTTATCAGGAATAGATGCTGTTTTTACAGCTGTAAACATTGCTTCTACACAACGTAAGGCAAAGAAAATATACGTCCAACTTCGTAATTGTAATTTACGTTTTAATTGTACAGAGAGTTCCTCATGTCGACGTTTCGTTCCAGATCTCGCAATTTGATCATATAATGCCCCTTGCATAACAGCTGGTAAAGACCATTGACAACATGCCGCAAACTCTTCAGCTTCTTCGGTATGACTTACATCATATGCACTGGCAATAGAAGGAATCATCAATGCCCATGTTTGTAAGGCCATGGCTCGCATCTTTCGTGTTTGCGTCTCTGCAAGCCAACCATTAAGTGTTGGCACAAGTACATCCACACCGGCATTTCGTACTAATTGCTGTAAAACATCTCCCGCCCGTTGACGAACTTCCGGATGTGGAGCTGCTGAAAGTGTAGTGGCGAGTGGAAGTAATAACACGGGTGCCTCTTCTCGTAATACTGCTGTAGGGAGACGATGGGTTAACACAGAAAGTAATTCCAATATCGCTAATCGTCCCATCATACATGGATAATCCAGATTACGAGAAAGAAGATCGATATGTGAACGGAATTTCGTTGGAGTCATTCTATATTCTGTAAGAAAACGAGCCATTACCGCTACACAACGTTGTCGCATTAATCGTTTTGCACTTGTATGCATCATTAACTCTGTGACTAAACCAATGAGTTCATAGACTTCCACTACATGTGCATGTTTACCAAGAACCGCATGAAAGAGTACAAGAGCCATGGGAGCAAATTCATTTCGTTCCACCAATTCAGCATGACAAAGTCGTGTTAATCGAGAAGCCTGTTCATCTGTCATGATAAAACGTTGATGCGAAACCACCGCAGCGGCTACTCGCATCGCTCGTTGTTTAATAGCCCCTCCACGTTCAAAGAAAGCCGTCACGGTATCATATAAAGAGATATGAAGAGTTCCTACTGCTCGTAAAGGTGGACGAAGAGAAACAAGTGCTAACATACAATCCAAGGCATTTCCTACTACAGCATCACTACCTTCACCTTGTAAAGTGGTAAGGACAACAGGGACAAGATCTTCTAATAAAGATTGATGTTGTCGAGTGAAGGAGGCGGTTAAATCTCGCATCATGCGACGATTTTTCTTTTTCTCTTCTTTTGCTTCTTCCTTTTGTTCTTGTTCTTGTGTAGTGGTTTCATCATTGGATTCCTTATCCACATCTTGAGCTTCATCGGCAAAATCATCCAGAGCATCACCTTCATCATCATCTAATTCCTGTGGATCTAATGTAACCGCCTCTTCCTCACCTGTTGCTGTATTTTCATCCATACTTTTGTTATTATTATTATTATTATTATTATTATTATTATTATTATTATTATTTTCTTCTTCATCTTCTTCTTCATTTTCTTCATCACTATTTTCTTCCATTGAAGTATCCCCTTCGGTATTCTTATTCTTATTCTTCTTCTTTTGTGCACGAAGCAAGTCCAATCGCACGGCGGCTGTAGAGTATTTACGTTCTTTCCCAATACCAAGCACTTGCTTTAATACACTTAATAGATACTTGAGTAAAAACTCATCCAATGTATCTAACACTACTGCTGTTGTGGGATCCTCTCGATAGAAATCCTTCGATGCCTGTTGTAATTCTTTTCCATAACGACCACGATATGCACGTAGTTTCTGTTTTTGCTGAGTTGCTAATACAGTATGAGCACTAAAGTCCACATCCACCCGTTCTGGTCGTGCTTCTACAAGGAAATTGGAATCTCGTTTACTCTTTAATGTTTCCACCGGTGGACGATGAATTAACATATGTGTATTTCCACGAACTCGACGGGTTCCATCCTTTGCCTCAAAGGCACGGATCTTTTCCTCTCGTACATCATTATGTCGTTGTAATAATCCACAAACTGTTTGAAAAGATCCTTCTACTTCCATTGTTGCATTCGTCATGAGAGCACGTGCTACTCGTACAGCTAAGAGACGTACTTTTTGCACAAATGCCAAATCTGCCATGGCGTTTTTACTTACTGTACTGTATTTACTCTTTAACTCATGCATAAGTAACATTGCTCCAGCTCGAGCACCACTTCCACTACGATGATTCTGAGTGTTTGATTGATTTTCAATTCCTGTGGTTTCACTTGGGGGAGTAAGTAACCATGTGATTTTATGTAGAAAAGTCTCAATTACTCGTTCTGCTTTACAATGTGAGGCGAGAAGTGTAAATCCCTGCAGGGCACGATTACGTTTAACTTCCAACATTGTACTCATCAATTCTACCTGTTCCTTCTGCTCACCCACCTCACCAAGGTAATCATCCAATAGAATTCCCATTAAATCATCTAAAGAGGCAGTTAAACATTCCACACCATAGGCATGATCAAATCGTATAGAGGCAGGGGCAAGTTGACGTGCAAGTTCTTCTTCTTCATCATCATCATCTTCATTTTCATTTTTATTATCTTTAGATTCAATTTCTCCTTCCTCCTCCTTCTCCTCTTGTTGTCCTTGTTGTTGTTGTTCAGCATTATTGGTATGTGTTGAGGCTACACCTTTTCGATGTCCATACGAAAAGACGTGATGAGGTTCATAGAGATTATACAATAAAGTCACTACCGTATATCCAAGAACATGTAATTGATAACCATGCACAAGATGATCCCGCAATTTCGTAATGACAAATCCAAGTTTTCCTGGACCTGTCTCACACAACATCGCACTAAGAACACGTCTGGCACTTTCACGATGTTTATCATTCTTTGTACGTAGTTTTAACACGACTTCATCTAAAAGATGATCCGCATGTGTAGAAAATCGATCATGCGGGAAACGCTTAACAATCTTGGTAATAGCAATCGCAACAGGAAGTTGTAAAATGGCTGTATTTTGCTGAGCATTATCCGCCTTTCGCATCTCACTTCGTACACTTGTGATGGAATGAATATTACCACGAAAGTCTGCGCCTACGGGATTATTCTTTCGAGATCCATCACTTAAAAATTCATACAATTGCGGTAAGATATCATCTTCCAAGATATGCATAACTCGTGCATTGCGGTACTTTAATCGTTTTGCCCGAAGTGCAGCCGCTGCGAGAGCCACAGCTTCATCCTCATTCTCCTCATTTTCTTCCTCCTCATCTTCATCTTCATCTTCATCTTCTTCCTTATCATTATTATCCTTATCTTCTTTCTTATCTCTATTAAGAGACTGAGGTGGTTCACGTAAACCTGTTTTTACTGTGGCTCCCATTTCTTTATTCGCTTTTGCTTTTGCTTCTTCTTCTTCATTTAAAAAGTGGAAATGATCCAATACCATTACTACACCACGAAGCATAGGTAAACGCAGGGAGGCATTCTCACGCGCATTTAACAAAAGTAAACTTAATATACGGTAATATCCTTCCCATGGAAGAGCTGCGGCCAGTGAGGCTACTGTCATTAAGACAGCACCACAATATCCCTTTGCACGTCCTTCCGTGAGATTCTGTAAATCTCTCTTTCCCTGTGCAAAGTCTTTCACAGCTACAAGAAGAAATGGCACAAATACACGGAGAACATCACGAGGTTGTAATTGAGATACATTCTGTCGTAATTGTGCCAAAGCATTTAAACGACATCTATGTTGAACATGACCCACATTAGCAAAGAAGTTTTGTTCAATATTTCTAGAATATAATGCAGCAAAAGAAGGAAAAGCGGTTGGATAATATTGAGCTAAAGCTCCAAAGCATTGCATATGGGTATGACGAATGTGTACATCCCGTGAAGTAACACCACGTCGAAGAGATGGTAAGATTTCATGTCGGATGACTCGTTCAAGTATTAAACTTTCATATGAAGAAGATCGTGTGGATTGTCGAGTGGCGTAAAGTATCATCGCATGTAATAATTGTTGGGCAAGAGCTCGAATTGTATTTTCTGGATCACGAAGAAAGAAAACAACATTTGCGGTGAGGACAGTAAAACCTTCTAAACAGAGAACAGGGGCTTCCGTATCATGTAAGGGTATAGTGACATCTAATATACCACTGTAATCCCGTTCTTTTCGTACTTGCCGTGAGGAATTATTATTATTATTATTATCATTGGGTTTTCGTTTTTCTTCCAATGCGGTTTCTCCTGATGATAATGTTTCTCGTTGTTTCTTTTGCTGTTTATTATAGTTTCCATCATTTTGGAAAAAACATAACAGAGATCGAAAAGTATGAAAACGGAGTTCAAAATCATATCGATCCAACTCTGTATTCTCTTCAGAAAAACTATTTAAACAAGCCACTGCACGTCCAACCGCCGCTAATTGAGCATTTACGTGATCTGAAGGTGATATCTTTAATCGTTGTAAAATAAGTGTTAATACACGACAAAGTGCGAGTCTAGCTTCTGGTGTGGTGACTGTATTAAAGAGACGTACAATGGGTTCATAATGTGTAAGAGGATCTACACAGGGAATACGTGGTAAAAGTTGTTCCAATACTTCAATAGCCGTAATACAGGTTTGTTTATCCTTTGCAGAGGCAGGATGGGCTACAAACGCAATACACATTTGTAAAAGTTTACCAAGCATAACATTTACGTTTTCATTACTCTCAGACTTATCGGAATGATGATGAGTAATGGCAATATATTCTGTAAGCATAGTAACGGTTGCTATCATTTCTTTCCACATGGATACATTAAATGTCATTACAAATGAAGATTGTCGTCCATCTTTTATTCCTGTTGAACGTTCATTACTGGAAGAAGAGGTTGAAGAAGAAGTAGACGTAGAAGCTCCACAAATAATAAGTTTATAAAGAGATCCAAAGAGTGTCATAACATGTGGCTCAATATATACTTTCCGTAGTGTGGTTTGACCTTTTGATCCAATCATCTCAAGAGGTTCATCACCGCAGGCGAGAATAGCCGCAATACAGCGAAGTCCTTCATAAACAGAAAGTGTAGCGGCCTGTTGCTGCGGTGATCGAATACGTCCTCCAATATTATTATTATTATTATTATTATTATTAGAACTACTACTATTACTAGTAGTCGTAGTAGAAACAGCACGAGATGTACCTGAAGAACTCTTATTCATATTCATACTATTATTATTATTATTATTATTATTATTATTATTATTATTATTATTACTGTTATTAATAGCGAATACCTGTTGAAACATGGCAGTGACAGCACCATCAAAGATCCCTACAAGCGGCATGGTTACCGGTGATGATACCCACGCACGTATTAAACGTAATAATGGAGTAGCGGCAGTTTGTTGTTTTCCATCCCCACCACGATGGGCTCCAAGTAATTCTGGTAATGCTCCAATATTATTTTCCTGAAGAATAGATACATAACGACCCATAACTGTTTGCTTAATATCATTCCCATCTTTCATAGTTGTTGTTCTTCTTGTTGGGAAAAGATCTTTTCGAAGAGTGGTCATTACTTCTGTAGGGAATTGTTCAAAGAGTGAGGCAATCATTACAGATGCCCCACGACGTAAACGTGGGAGAAGTGCATTAATAGTAGCAGAAGATAAAGCCATATGAACTCGACGATGAACTCCTGTATTTAATGTCTCTTCATTCTCCTCTTCCTCTTCCTCTTCCTCCTCATTATTATTATTAATATTAATAATAGTGGAAGTGGATGTCTTTTGGTTTTCTAATGGAAGTCGTAAGATTTGTTTACATGCCACAAGATAAGCATTTAAAGCGAGATGTAAACATGTTGGAGTAAATGCGGCAAAGGCACGACCCACCGCTTGTAATAATACAGTTAATAAATGAATAGTATTTAGTAATTGTTTTAAGAGTCGTTCAAGTTTTCGTATACAGTGACGATCCTTCTGTACCCATTCCATCCACCATGCGGAGAAATCAAATTCCCCATCCAATGTTTTTCGTTTTTCCATCATATCAGAAGCTTTTTGTTTTAATTGTTTTTTCATTATATTTCCTCCTTTCTTTTCTTCTTTTTCTTTTTCTTCTTCTTTACTTCCCGTAGTAGTATTAGTAGTAGTAGTAATGGATGTGAGTTGCTCAAACACAAGTCTTCGCACAAGCCCATCCAGTACCGCCGCGAGGGCATCTCCGTTGGTGAGATGAGTGACTAATGTTAAGATACGACGTTGAAGAACGGCATGATCTCTCATTTTTTCACGAGAGACTTTTGCCGTGAGTTTTGGTAATGCCATCACCAACGCAGTGGCAATATAATCTGCGGTATCTTCTGCAGGTATATCACTATCCACATGAAAGGTGGCAAGGAAGTGAAAAAGATTCTGTTGGGTATCACAATAGGGAAGTAATTGGGCATGATAATGAAGAAATGGGGAAACTTTTAGTTTTTTTAATTGTTCCACTGCCACACGTTGTAATTTGGCATTCGCATCGGAGAGAAAACTTACACATGCACGTTGTAATTGTTCTGTACGTTTTTTCATTTCTTCTCGAAGTGCAATTGGGATTTGCTGTTCCTTTGTAGAGGCAGTAGTAGAAGATGTTGATGTTGAGATGATAGTTCCACAACAGGCATTCATTGCCAAAACAAGTCGATCATCTAATAATTTTAATTGTCGAACTCCTGATGGATGTTCTCCACGGCGAACGGCAACTAATTCCAATACTAATTCCATCACCAGACTTACACGGGCATCATTTACACCAATAGCCCCTTTTGTAATCTCTGCAAGACCAGAAAGAAATGTTTTGGCTAACATCGCACGATCTGTACTACGAGTCGTAAGAGCTCCATAGGCATGTGTAGGAGATGCGGATGGAATATAATGACGTTGCCAGGAAAGAATCATATGATCCGCATTTGCTAATTGTAATAAAGTAATAGATGCTGCTGAGTTGGTATAACGAGCTGTAGAGAAATCTTTACTAATCAATTCACCTTTTTCATGTCGTTGCATATCTGAGAGTCGAATACGATACCAAATAGGAATAGGAACAGTTTTACGTACTAACTTATGATATTCACCATCTTCCATACGAACAAGAACAACAACTTCATGGGTTTCATCACTACAATCATCCTCTTTAATACTATTCATATTATTATTAATATTATCATTATTATTATTATTATCCGGCACATCCTCTGTATCGACAGCATTGAATAATTGTGAGGAAACAGCAGCACTATGTACAATATCTCCAAACACCACCGCATGTGCATAACGGCATACGACTGTATGCCAAACCAAAGGTTCCATCTTTGTTGTCCCTACTGTAGAATTACCTTCTTTACCCAATAATAATAATAATAATAACTCTTCTTCTTTTCCTTCTTTTTCCCCTAGTCGTTGTACAGTGAGAAGAGAAGTATCCTCTATCCGCACAAGATCTGAGAGAATCTTTAACGCCACTGGCCAAGCATCTGCATATCGTTTGTGTAATAAACCCATCATTGCCCTTGCGAGAATCACACGTTGAAGTGGATCCCGAATTTTACCCGCAGCAGCATCAAATGATAACTTCGCTAATGCCTGTTGAACCCCATCTAAATTCCCTGTAGAAGAAAGTGGATTAAACAACTCTGCCCGTAAAAGGGCTGTGAAGAAACTGGGATCTACCGCCGTACAACCAGCCGTACGTTCTGTTAATACAGATGATGATGATGATGTGGATACGGCAATATCTGGATGGCATAATAATCGTAGTAATCGTAAGGCCACAACTCGTAGTGAATGTACAGGAGAGGCGAGGGCTTCAAATAAAAGAGTTTGTACAAGTTCACGTTGTGCCTGTGCATCTAATGCGGTGTGTAGACGAGAAATAGCATTCATCAATTTATTTTGTTGTTGTTGTGCCGTTGTTGCTGTTGGGTTCTCAGAAGAGGATTGTTCTTTACTTGTCTTTTTATGTTTATGCTGTTTGGATGTTGTTTTTTGCCTCTCTGTTTGTTCCTTCACAGAGTCATTGGTTTCCGTATCTCGTTCCAATTCCACTCCAAAGAGATGCAGTAATGAAATAAGAAGTGATTCCATTCCATGTAATAATCGCGCCGTCTCTTCATCATTAAAGGATTTCACATGTTTATTATGAAAACTGGCTGCAAGTACAGTCACCGCATCCTTTAAGAATCCTACACATTCCAATTCCACACACTTTTCATTATTATTATTATTATTATTATTATTATTATTATTATTATTATTATTATTATTATTAGAGGAAGAAACACCTCCCATGGTGGCGAGTTGCACTAATAAGGCAGAGGCTTGTGCAAATAGTGAATAAGAAGCCGCCGTTAACTGTGAAAGTGGGGCTAATGTGGAATTACTACTATGTATACTACTAGTATTATTATTACTATTACTATTATTATTATCCGTAGTAGTGGTAGTACTGCGAGATGAGGAAACCGCAGCCTTTACACATCCCATCACTAGTAAAAGTGTTGAGCGATACCGTTCCGCAAACGACAACTCTGCAGAAGGTAAATTCTTTCTTTTATCTTTTTTCACTTTTAGACTTATTGCATGATCGGCTTCTGCTACAGTTACGACCAAAGGAAGAAGTGCAGAAACCACATCTGCCCATTTACCTGCATACCACATTGAAATCATATCACTTGCCTTTTGTGTATCTGCATAGACAGTGGTAATATCCATAAGTAATGTTTGTAGACTTGTTGTGAGTGTTATTCGATCAATTGCAAAGGAGGAGTCTGGTGAACTCTTAGCCTCATCATTTGATAGAGAAAGTGATTCCCCATTACTCCCAACTGTAGGAACTGTAACGAGTAAATCAAATAATGGACTAGCCATCATATTAGCCGTTCGATCATTCATCATTCTTGCCATCATAATTGCACGTCTCACATCTCGTATTGTCTGTAAATAATTTTTTCTTTTCTTATCATCTCTTCTTGAGAAGGATTCTTCTTCTTCTTTTTCTTTTCCTTCGTAGTTTTTAGTACTGTTCCTATTCTTTTTCCTATCGTTGCTATTCTTGTTGTTATTATTATTATCATTGTTCTTATTATTATTCTCCTTGACAAGGTGTTCCAATGCGGTATTTGCCAATACACATACTCCCTGCAGTATAGGAGCTAAAAGGGCGAAACCAAGCGGTGTTAAATAAGACTTTACAACACATCCCTCATTATGTTTTCCAATGCCTTTTGCTGTAATGATATTATCATCATAATCATAATCATCATCGTATTCATCGTCCGTTTCTTCTTCTTCTTCCGCTTCTTCACCTATACGTCTTTCATCACGTAAACAAAAGGCGTAGTTTTTCTGTAAAACATCCTGCACAAACGCAAATAATAACAGTTTAGCTGGTTCACGCAAACACAGCATAGAATCATTACCATTACTATTACTATTATTATTACTATTATTATTAGTATTAGTATTAGTAATAGAAAGACATATCTGCACAATAGAACGGGCAAGTGGGAGGAACAAACGTTGAACCTTCACTCTATACGTATCGGATGTTAACAATAATGATGATGATGTAGATGATGTAGATTTAGATGTGATGAGTGTACCCACACAAAGTGGAGTTATCATCTCCAGCATAGCCCCACATGTACGTAAGAATAATTCCCAATCATGCACATCATCATTATCATTATTATCATTATTATTATTCTTCTTTTCCATATTTCTCTTCTTTAAACTTTCCTGCTGTTCAGTCATTTGCTGCTGTAGTGTACGTACAATCTTACGTAGTAATGGTAAGGCAGCAACATCTCGTAAAAGCATATGATCAGCAGCGTGTAAAAGAGACATGAGTACACGTATATGGGGAACAGAGAATTCTAATAAAGCCGTTACAGCTCCAAGTAATTGTTGTAATGCTGTTGGACTATTTAAATGATGATGTTGACTACTACTACTACTACTACTACTATTATTATTAACAGCAGTAGTAATAGAAACAGGAGAGGAAGATGTTTCTTCCGCAACTGTACGAAGAGCCGTACCAACAGCAATAGCTCCAATATGTTGAATGAGTTCACGTAGGACTCCTATAGACTCTTTTTCTCTCTTTTCATCTCCTTTATTATCATCATCTTCCTTTTCTTTTTCTTCCTTTTCTTCTTCTTCATTGCCCATCACATGATGAAGAGGTGAAATAAATATTTCCTTCCATTGAGATGAATGAACAAAGTGTTTGGCATCTTCTTGTGTATATCCAAAGAGTTCTCGTTCATCTGTGCCGTAACCCGCCGAGTGGGTTCCCTCAAACTGCACACATCCCGAGAGACCAAAGACGTGTGTTAATAAAGCGTAGTAATTCTCAAAGTTTGTACTCAGAGCTCCACGAATTCCACGGAAGAGTTCAGCAGAGAGAAAACACAAACCGTCAACAACAGGAAGTGAGGCGAGTCGATGTTGTTCATACTGAAATAATAATTCAGATGTTATGACCGTTGTTGACGTTAATGCTTTCCCTTCCTTTTCCTTTTCCTTGTTGTTGTTGTTGGAGTCTTTATTAGAACTCTTTCCCTTTTCCTTTACCTCTTCTTCTTCTTCTTCATTCTCATCTTTATCCTTGTTAATATCATTCTTCTCATCCTCCTCCTCTTCCTCATTTTCTTCTTCTTGTTGTTTAGCAGCAGTAATAACATTTGCATGAGCACAGTATGCCTCAAAGTCCCGCACCACATCTAAACAAATCTCCTCCACTACCAGTGGAATTAAATCTTGTGCAGATCGACACAACGCCGCCAGTACTTCTGCAGATAATCGACGAATATATTCCTTCGTATCATGCATTTGATGTACATATAGACGAATCACACGTTCAACGAGTTTTCGTTGATCAGATAATAATAAATACGGTCGCATCTCACGACACCAAGCCACTTGAGCCGCAAACACTAATTGTAAACGACGGGTATCGGCTAACAATTGTCCACTCGCATCAAATATTCCACCATTCACAGTTTTGTGAAAACACTCAAAATAGGTGAGAAACTTTTCTCGCATATCACGTGCAAAAGCCACTGTGAGGCGTACAAAGGCTTCATACCCCTCCGCATACTTATCTCGGCGTAGGAGTGCCAATAACAACTTCTCCGCAATTTTACGGTGATTGAGTTGAAAGAGAGATTTGGACTCACAAAGCTCTAACACTTCCCAACGAAATCGTTTAAAATCTGCTGTGGAGTGTGAAAGCATCAATTCATTTAACTCGAGTAGAAAAGCACAATCATTTTCTTGCACTTGTTGTTGTTGTTGTTGTTGTTGTTGAGATTCTAAGCCATCTGTGTTAGTGAGTAGACTGGTTGCGAGAGGCTGGAGAAGAATATTTCCCAGCACATTATGGCCAATCCCAACATGTACGTGTTGAACGGCATTACGGAAGATCTTATCTCGGCCTCTTATATTTTGTCCACGCTTCTTTGGCGGCATTCGCGGCGGCTCACTTTTTTTTTTTCACGAAATGAGAAAGAAGGAAAAATAAAAAAAAGGTGGGAATAACAACAACGAAGAAACTAAGAAAGAAAAGAATGAATGAAAAAAAGAAAAGAAACCTGAAGCCTGGATACCTACACCTTTAAATAAGAAAATAAAAAAAAAAAGGAGGAAAACAAACAAACAAACAACTTAACATGTCCCTACTCATACACCAGTAACGTCAATAAATATGCACAGACAAAAACCACCCATTTCAAAAATGTATATTACTTGTTCATATATATATATATTGAAGAAAAAGGAAATAAAAGAAAGGATCCAAAAGTTCAAATACAAATACACAAACCATTTCCCCCAACCTTCGTCCACTCTCTTTTTTTTTCTTTTCTTTTTTTTTATCTATCTATTTATCTATCCTCGTAAAGGAGTTTTCGCGATAATATACCATCCTTTTCAAGATTACTACTATTATTACCACTATCACTACTATTATTATTATTATTATTACTGTTACTGTAAATCCATCTCGGCGGAGCACCAGCGCCCGGCTGTTTTTCTGCAAGATTACGCAGCAATGATGTTGTAGATCGTATCTGTACAAGATTAGAGATATTCCTTCCATTTTTATGACTAAACAACCGCACACGAGAGACATGGGACTCTACAACACCTGAAATAACAGTGGTAGAAGAAGAAGAAGAAGAAGGTGGTGATAACAATAATGAAGAGGAAGAGGATGAAGTCCCATTAGAGGGAGGAGGAAGAGAAGGAGGAGGATGATATTCCCCATCATGACTCAATAGTGTAGATGAATAAAGTGTAAGAAGTATTTGAATAGCCTGTGTTAACCGTGAGAGATGTTGTTGTAGCTTTAAAGAACGTAATGCAGATGGAATAGGCCCATGTAAAAGAATAACACGCTCTATCAATATAGGACTCTTCCTACTATTCATATTTATATTTATATTCGTTTGACGATCTGAACAAACCTCTGCTTGCCAAAGACATGAATTCTGATGAATCACATCTTTAATGACAGTCCATACATCTCTTCTTATCTTTTCTTCTTCTTCTTCTTCTTCCTGTTGAGAGACGGTGTGAGAAGAAGTCGCGCAGGCCAAACGGGATTCTCCTGTTTCTCTTTCACATGATAAAGTGTAATCTACAAGAGCATCAAGACAACCATCCGCCAATTGAAGTAAAACACCACCGCCAAGAAGAATTAGTCGTTTCCAAGCAAAGAAGGAATATTCACCACAAGTCATTTCTTTTCTTGTTTTTTTATTTAATATTGGAATAGACATGTTTTGGTTTTCTTTATCCATTCCATACGATACCAGAGAAAGTAAGAGTTCATCTGGTAATAAAATAAATCCATATCCATCTTTCATCCATTCTCCAGCTTTGTACTTCTGGCCTTTATATTCTCTTTCGGATTCATTCCAGCGTGCATATAAGGATCCATTTATAATGTAAGGTGAAGTGGACCGTAATTGTTGAGTCTCCACACATTCCTTTAGCCATTCCCAGTTTAACACGAGAGGAGTTGAAATAAGTGCACTTCCTATAGAAGGTGTCATTGTGGAGACAAATCTTTCTTCATTTACGGTAGTATACTCATCTTTAGTATTAGTATTAATAGTAGTAGTAGTAGTATTAGTATTAGTAGTAATAGGAATAAGAGAATTAGAGGAACCACGAGAGGATGAAATAGCCACAAGAGAGTGAGTGCCTATTAAAGGACCCACATCATATTGTAGTTCTTTCCAATGTAGTGTGTTTGAAGATGAGAGAATTGATTCCATAAGAGAATGCGGTTTAATAGAGTGTGTAAATGTAGATATTGGTTGGAATAACTTCACTGAAGTTAAACCGAAACTATTTTCACTCGTATTTCTCTCATCAATTACAGAGGCACCAAAAAGTCTAATAGCAGATGAAATAAGATCACTCGTAGTAGAAGTGTATGGAATAGAAGGATCCAATACAAAGATAGGAATAGATGAATCCAGACGAGATGTTTCTTCTTCTTTTTCTTCTTTTGTATCTATCGTTTCCATCACAGACACTAATTCAGATAAATATCCCACATTCTCTCTCTTTCTCTTCCTATTATTATTATTATTATTATTATTATTATTATTATTATTATTATTATTTTGTTGTTGTTGTTGGCTTTTCACAACATCTCCCTCGAACTTATTATCATCATCCTCATTCTCTACCGTGCAATCCTCTAAACTATCCATATCTGTACAAGGTATATCCACCACTAGATCCTCTCCAGTACTAATTGTATGAGAAATTATTTCTGGTGTGGATATCCTATTTAATAAAGAGGAAGTCTTTCCTGAGACTGACATACTTGTTTTAGAGGGAGAAGTAGAAGAAAGTGGAGGAATAACATTTCCACTATCTTCTTTCTTCTTCCATGTAGATTCCTCTGAAAACTCTACAGAAGTGGTTGTGAGTTTAGTGGATTGCGATGACGTTACTAATTCTCCATGTTGAGATGTATTCATACAACTAGATATCATCTTTTCCTTTACGGCAGTTGCGGATAATATCTTTTCTTCATTTTTCTTCTTATCATCATTATCCTTATTAACATTACTAATATTATTATTATTATTATTATTATTATTATTATTATTATTATTATTATTCTCTTCCTTCTCCTGCAAGACATTCGCAAGTGCTGTATACTGTAAAGCCTCTAATACCACTTCACGAAGGAATGGCACACGTATTAAACTCCATTTATAAGCTGGACCTAAACAAACCGGACATGTAAACTGTAATTTACGTTTTTTTCGTTGTTGTTGTTGTTGTCTATGTTTTTTCTCTATAGTTTCATTATTATTATTATTATTATTATTATTATTATTATGAGAGGATGTTGTTTCTTTTTCTTTTTCTTTCTTTATTATTTTCTCTACTGGGAAGCAACCCTTCTCCAGACCAATATTAATACAATTATAACAAAAAGCATGTCCACATGGATCCACTATCGCAGGATCTTCCAATAATAATGAATGACAAATAGGACAACGAAGTAGTCGTTGAAGTTCAGAGATTACACGATCATTCAATACACTACCAACCATATTAATAATAGGATCACTATCATAATTATTATTATCAACATCACCAGCACTATTATTAATATGATGATTATTATTATTATTATTATTTTGAATTTTTTCCTCCATATTATCTTCTGTATGAATGACTGTAAGGAGTTTTGGTAGTTGTGATGGAGAAATTTGCGTGAAATCCAGAGAGACTCCATCCTCTCTGTTGCCAAGAGATGTTTCTAGTGAAGGTGAGGCATTACGTTTACCTCTAGTACCAACCATGATATTCTTTCTTTCTTTCTTTCTTTTTTATTATTATTCTTATTCTTCTTCACTAGTCCACAGAACTATACTCACATACACGAAAGAAAGAAAGAGTAAGTAAGTGAATGAATGAGTTTGGGCGTTAACCTATATGTGTATATATATGTATATATGCATCTGCCAGTAACGGCAAAAAATAAAATACTACAGATGAAAGAAAGAAAAAAAAAAAAGAAAGAAAGAGAGAGAGAAAAGCAAATGAATATAGACCAAAAGAAAGAAAGAAAGAAAGAAAGACAAAAAAGAAAAGTGGAGTGAAAAAGTACAGGGAAAATTCCCCTTTATTCTTTTTTTAAAAATGAAAGATAGTTTTTTTTTTTTCTTCTTTTTCTTCGCTCTTTTCGTTCTTTTTTTTTCTTTTTTAAAGAATGTTTATAATCCATCATGTGAGATACACACATACACAAGAGTAAATAAATAAATATATATATATATATATTCCCACACTTCTTTTCATCCACAACAACAGCGTATTAACATTTCACACACACACACTCACACACACTCTCTCTCTCTATAGTGTTCGTGCCTGATATAAATTACTTCTGTATCCACCATCTGCAAAGATAGTGCCTTGTACTTGACCCACCGGTGGTACTTCTGCAGTCTCTATCTTCCTAATTCCATAATCCACTTCTGTGGGAAAAGCAGAAGAAGAAGATGATGAAAGTGTCGCCCCACTACTCCAGCGATCGCTACTCACCATATCGGTTGTACTCACCATAATAGAACTGACAGCAGAGAGTAGAAAGAGTAGTAAGAGAAAAACTATTAAAGAAAACACGGTTGTGCTTTCATACCAACGTAATGGAGCCCAATACATAAGACTAGGGGATGATTCTCCAGTTCCACCATTCTCTGTATGAAGACGTGCGGCAGCATTATAATGACGATGTCGTAATAATCTTCGTTGTTGTCCATATCGTTGTTCAATACTACAACCTCCAAATATGGAATTCCACTGCGTATCCACTGTGGTGATATCTTGAAGGTTGGAATCATGAAATGTATGTGAAGTTAAACGGTGCGAAATATAAGAAGGAAGGTTTATAAAAAGTCGAATGATTCGATGTGGTAAACGACGTTGAGAGACATCCGCACGAAAAGCACTAAGAATAGATAAATTCCCAGGAAGTGGAGGTACAGGAACAGCACTATTCACCTGTCGTGAGGTATCAAAGTACTCTTGACGACTTCGTGAAAAGAGAAATGTAGGAGAATGTATATCTCTTTCTATAGAACCAGTCCTATCCTTTGAATTCTGTTGTTTACCACTACCACTACCAAGAGGAGCATTCATACCATTATTGTTATTATTATTATTATTATTATTATTCCATACAGAAGCTTTATGATCAGGACTTTGAAAACTCTCATGAAAGACTTCTGTACGATCTGTAGAGGATGAACCAACACCTCCTCTTCCTCTTCCTCCGGATGCTAATATAGATGCTCCTCCTGTTTTTGGTAATGGTGAGGTATCTTCACTGTAGGATGGACGTGAGGTCGTCCATCGCATACTCCATGGTGAGTATAAAGCATCTCGTAAAAGACTGCCTAATCCACGTGAACCCCGTGTTGTTCCCATCTCATTAACAACATTAGCATTAGCATTAGCATTAGCATTAGTAGTAGTAGTAGTAACACTGTGGGAAGTAGGAAGACGTGTTCGGTTAAGTCGATCGGCTCCACATGGTGTTACTCCAGCAGCATTTTTAATAGTATCATCATGTAGATCTTGTACAGGACTTTTACCTTTACTGGTCATATTATTATTAATATTATTATTATTATTATTATTATTATCAATACTACTGCTTCTGATAGGATTTTTTCCTATAAATTCCTCTGTTTCTTTTATATTTTTTTGTTCATGCTCTTGTAAAAAAGTTGCGTCATTACACCAGGCAACACCAACAATTTCTTGTTTAACATTCACATTATTAGAACCCACACTATCTCTGGAAGTAGTCATGATAGCACTTGTTCCTATAGCACTACTACCTAGATAACCACCAGTGAGAATAGGAATTGTAAGAGGACTTTGATATACCGCTCGTGCAGCAGCAACGGAGTTTTCAAACTTTACGTAAAACCAATTCGTCCCATTACCCACTTGAAGTATATGACTCTTTCCAACCATTCCATTTTCTCTTGGACAGGCATGTTCTACTGTACGACCAAACATGATATCAAGATACTCTCGCACATCTAATATACTTCCCGCTGATACACCATAGACAGCCACCCAACATTCCCCCGCATGTGATGTTCCCCCTTCCTGTAATGAACTTGGATTAGTAGTAGTAGTAGTTGTTGTTGTTGTTTTTGGTAGGGATGAGAAATCGGTTGGAATTGCAGAGGCAGTGGGAATATCTTCTGGTCGTTCTTTAAATCCCTCTGGTAAAAAACCCGCACGGCCTGCATGACGTGTTGGTGTTGTCAAATGTCGTGTTTGTTGTTGTTGTTGCTGTTCTCCTCCAGTTAAACCACGGCGCCCTTTACGTTCCACCCATTGCCCAATATCTTGTTTCCACATCTATATATATATATATATATATATATATATAGATGTGTAGGTGTACGTGAGTCTGTGTTTAGTTTATTTCTTTTTTTTTGTTTCTTTTCGCCTTTTTTTTTGTTTTTCTTTTTTTCTGTTCTATGACGCACCTCAACGTGTTTCCTACCCTTTAATCCACAGAAAATAAAAATAAAGAAAAAAATCAGGAATTATTCTTAGAGTCTAGGAACGAACATCAGGTTAAGCGCTTTCTCCTTTCGAAAGAGAAGGAGAAAAAAAAAAAAAAAAAAAAAAAAAAAAAAACAATAAAAAAAAAAATAATATATAAAGAAACAAAAAAGAAAAAACATATTATACCTTCTACATTCTTTGAATGATACAAAGTTTACATATACGCAGTCTGCAAATTTTTTTTTGTTTTTTCTTTATTTCCACTCTTCTCCTCTCCAATCAAGTGGATAGAGGCCTTATTATACATTTCGTCTGAGTTGAATTCATACGAGAAACCCTCCACACCCCATTCACGCATTCAATGGAGTCCTCAGATCATTTTTTTTTTTCATTCTTCTTTCCCTATTCTTCCACACAACCCACCAAGTAGACCCTTCCCTCTCTCTTTCTCATATTCTCTTCTTTCTTAATATCATTCCTCATACTCCATTTTCTTCTTTTTTTTCTCTCTCTCTCTCTCTCTCCTTTTCTTCATGTAGACACTGCAAAGTACTTTTCACGAAGACGTTGTTGCTCTTCCTCTGCCTCATGCAGAGTTTTAGATGAACTGTCATGCATAGCTTTTTGATATGTGACCAGAGATGCCAACTGTTTATATCGCATTGTCTCTCCTAATAACACCACTTGCTGAGCCACTCGTGTGGCTTCTGTAAACTTTAAAAATACACGAAGACGTTCATAGGAAGATGGTGAAAGTCCACCATTACTCTCTTCTTGAGTGATATTCCCAACCACTACAAGACCGCCAGTATTTCCATCACGCTGAGTCGTGAGATTTGGTTCAAGAAAACGCCGTGGTGGTTGCATGGTTGGTGGAAGCCAACGAGTGGTTGGAAAGGGTGTTGGTTTCCCTGGAAAAAAGGCCAATTGATTTTGTTTTTGAACGGCAATACCAAGTAAAGAACCAGACACCACCGTATTTTTCGATTCTCCTGTTCTACTGTAGTTAGTATGCAGAAATGCTGAGGATGGAGATTTAGAGCCACGGTACTGTCGTGAAAAGTCTGCCATGGATGGATTAGATATAGTCCCATTAGCGGCTTCTACACGAAAGAATGTTAATTGTTGTACACCTGGTTCACCAGAGGCTGTACTGTGGGATAAGAAAACAGGAAAAGGTTCAGCATCTTTACTACGCATATACTCTTCCACATCCCGTTCATGTAGATACTGAACCACCACACCATTCTCAAGTTCTGAAAAGAATAAAGGTGTAATTCCCATTGGTGGTAAAGCAGCAGCGGCGGTATCTAAAGAAGGCATATTAAGTGAAGCAAAAGCTCGTTGTAGTGATGCTCCTTCTGAAGTTCCCATAAGAGATGATAATCCTCCCCAACATGCATTAACAGAATTAGAAAGTGTTATTTTTCTTTTATTTCCAGTAGTTCGATTCATTTCCCATTGACGTTTAGCTGAATTAAGAATATCCACACGAAGAAGTTCATGAGCAATAATAAAACTCTCCGCGAGTTCACGTAGACGATTCATTAATGGTGGACAAATACCAGATGCACGATCTTTACGACTTTGTGATTCTGTAGCTAATTCTTCTGCTTTCATCGCTTCTTTTCGTGCTTTAGGAACAGCATGTGGGGTATATGTTGGTAATACAAGTTGTCGAAGTAATTCTTCCAATGAAGAGGGTTTAATATGTGCATAGATGGAACCTGAAGAGAAAAGATCCCGTACTTCCGTGATATGATGTTGATAATCTACCAGTCGCATTCCACCTAAAGTTAAATCAAACATGGCAAATCCTTCTCCAATAGCAAGAGATGCTGGTGATTGGGAATTACGACGTGCAGCTTCTGCTGGTTCCACTATCGCAAGGCCAGACTCATGTATAATACGAATAGAAGATTCTGTAGGTCGTGTGAAGAGAGTTTCTAAAAATGGTATTGGTGGACCACGTGTACCGTGATAAGTAACTCGACGTCTTAATACAGATCCATCACCAAATACAATATAAAAACGATCATATACTGTTTTACGTTGGGGCATTAATTCCTCTCGTACGGCAGCGGCAAATACAGAAGTGGGAGTATCGGAAAGTGGAGAAAGTATAACAGGATGATCAATGTGTGGATGGACTTTCCCTGTATTAGCATTAGTATTCGTATTAGTTTTAGCAGTATTAGCATTAGCATTCGTAGTATTATGATGAGAGGGAGGCATAGAGGCAGAAATTTCAGAAACAACATCTGAAACCCCCGTCACCATCGTTTCTCCTCCCGCTTCTCCTTTATTATTATTATTACCAGCACCACCACCAGCAACAACTCCAACTCCAACACCAGAGATAGATGAAGGATTTTCTTGATTTTCCTTATTTATTTCATCTGCTGCTGATGCACAGACAAAGATACGTGGTAATGATGGGGCTTCTACACAATACCGTACAGGAGCTCCACATGCGGCTTCCACCACCTGCACATGTTCTAATAATGGCCGTAAAGGTGCTGGTGCGTTATTAGGATCAAAGAATTCCTCACCAGTAGAAAAGGAAGTAATACAAGTACCATCTGCATGTAATGTCACTCGAGCAATAATATTAGAAGAAACACCAAATGGAATTTCATCATTTATATTTTCTCCTTGAATATCCATATAATCAAGATTATCTTGTTGATTTTCATTGTTGCTATTTGAAATACCGGATACTTCAACACTACTACTTGGCTTTTTACTGTTGAACTTATTATGATTTCGGTGGTAATAATACACAACTGTGACTCTATCCTCTCTTGATAAAATGCGACAATTATTACCACGATCAAATGTCATTCGTGATTCAATCTTATTGGCCTTAAGATGCGAAAAACTACTAACTTCTCCTTCACATAATTGACGAACATAACATTCACCGGAGGCTGTCGTAAGTGTTTCCACTTGTACCTGTAAACTATTTACATCCATATTTGGAACTGGATAACGCGTTAAAACAGATCCATCTGGATATAATGTTTGTGTGGCACCAGATTGGAAATATCTACAAAGAGCTCCAACTTCTTCTAACACCGCACGACGTACTTCCACTTCTATAGTATCCCCCCAACTTGCATTGGTTTCACCTGAATGCACACAACGCATTAACTCTGGTGTTGAAAAGATACTAGATTCATAATGTGTAATCCATAATACCGCCTCATATTCTTCAGTATGTATAGTAAACCCATTTGCCGCAATAGTAACAGCAAGTTTTGGAATACCTCGTGAAATACCAGCGGAGGATGGGACATTAGTGGTTCCTGGTTGAGAACTCATCGTATCACTAGCTACATTTGGTGTGGCTAGACTCCAAAGAAGAATAGATCCATCTTGGGCAACTGGAAAAGGTCGTGGAGGTTCATCTGGTCGCATTGATATAGCCGCTGCGGAGGCTGCGAGGGCTTCTCCTCCATCATCACGGTTTTTACCTTTATTATATCGTCTACCAAGACGACGTCCACCGGCTTGGTTTTCATCTGCAAATCCAGTAGAAGTTCCTGTTTGAGATTTTCCACCTCTTGAGGAGAGTTTACCACGTCGTGAAGTCACACTTTTTGTAGAGATATTACTAACATTATCTTTTTCACTACTCATAGTCATCGCATTATTGTCCACCGTTAAGGAAGGTGAGACGACACGTTGAGTACAGGTGAGAACCACACCATCATCAAAGGATGTTGTAAAGTATATAGTCTCTTCATTCAATCGTTTTCGCGTTGATGGTCCCAATGGAAAAGAACCTGCAAAACTGATAGGTACAGTAGAAGGAGCTGAAAGAACAGAAGGAGAAGGAATACTATAATGTAATACACAGTTTATCTCACTAGATTTTACATAGCGACACATACGAGATCTATCAGTGGTAACAACCTCTACAATACTATCATCATATGGATAGAGTGCATGACGACCTTCTAATATAGTTTGTGCCTTCCCTTCAGAACTACACACATTACCCATCTTTTCCGTTTCTTCTCCTGTTGGTACCAACAACTGGGATGAATTTCGTAAATGACGAAGTAATTGTCGACGTAAAAGATCTCCAATAGAACCACCCCATCCAGTTGAAGTATTTCCTGTTCCTGTTCCTGTTACTGTGGCTCTTCTTGTTGTTTGTGTAGGTTGTACGAATACTGGTACAGTTGTTGTTGTTGTTGTTGTTGATGCTGTTGCTATTGATGATGATGGAGGCGGAAGAGATCCTCCTTTTCCTTTCATATCTATACTATTCATATGAGAAGCAATAGCGGTTTCAGAAGCCACAAGTTCATTAAATTGATCCAGTGAGGGTACACCACTCACATAATGACACCAAACACGTTGAACCTCTCGTTTTGGTGGAACGGGTACTCCACCCAACATTACAGATGTCACTCGCTTTGGTGGATAAACATTCTCTGCTTGAAGAGAATAAGATGCGGTGAAAGTTCCATTAATAGTATCCATTGGATCTGGTACCGTACAGTGTAAAAGACGGCATAAATGAGTTCCAAAGCGAGATTGAAAATCATATAAACGTTGAATAGCTACAGGTTTCGTTACAAATTCTTCTATAGATCGCGAGGCAGCTCCGGTAATATCATTTTCTCCATCTCCTACAGTATTACTAGTAATAGTAGCAGTATTATTATTTAATAACATCTTCTTAGTATTCTTTCCCTTACTAGATGTCCTTTCATTCATTCCAAGTGTAAAGATATCACTTATTCCCGCTTCAGCAGCCGCACGTTGAAGAAAAACTTGTTGAACGATATGTCTTCGTTCTCGTGAGGTTAAACTCCGCTCTACGGATCGTTGTAATTTCTCTTTCACTACAGGTGAACCAAAAGAAGTTACTGCAGATTCACAGACACGACCCCATTCTAATGGTGATTCCTTTGCCGTACGATTAAAATCAGATTCAATGAGTTGTAAGAGATGCATATCCACAGCATCTTCACCTTCTTCAACTGTAAAACCATTTAATGGATCCTCTAATAATTCTCGTATTCGCATTACCGCTTGAAAATGTTCAATGGAATTAGATGATATGGTTGTTGTACCACCGAGATCTTTCATAAGATTTGAATCTAATTCTGCAGGAGGAACGGCAAATAAACCAAGTCCTTTCCCAACAAATTGACGTGTTAACCAACGAATCTCATCTGGGTGAGGAGGTGAAGTGGGACGATCCATTGTATGATCTAATGGTAACGTTGCGGTAACATCAAATCGATTTATTTTTTCATTCTCTTGTATAGGAACTGATAAGGATGAAGATGGTCTTACTGTTCCTACTTCTGTTCCTGTTTCTCCTCCTGTTGTGTTTGATTTGCTTGTTGTAGATATTTTTTGCTGTTCACCACTACGTCTTTTATTATTCGTGTTGTTAGTAGTAGTCGTATTATTATTATTATCCATCTCACCACCTCCAATAGAAAAGGTATTCACATCTTCTTCTTCACACATATCATCTAATATGGCTAAAACGGATTGTCTTGAAGAGTAGAGACGTAATTGTTGCATAAGGGATGCATTTTTATCTTCTATATTTCTAACATCTTTAACATGTTTATCAGATACTGTTAATGGATCAATTGTAGCTTCTTGTAGTGGTTTATCCTCCAGTGTTGTCTGTACAATCTTTGGTTGTTGTTGTCTTGCTAATGATACGGTTACTTGTGCGGCGAGGGCACGAACGGCAGAAACACATGTCCATTGACCACGTACCTTACGTTCACGAAGATAATATGAACACCTTTCTTCTTTATATGGACGTGTTTGTTCAACAATTTGTGAGGGAAGAGATACTTCTTTTATCGTAGATCGCATGGGATCTCGTTCAGGAACAGATGTAGCAATAGAAGTAAACATTGCTGTTCGTGATCGTTGTTGTGTATGAGATGCAAAGTTAGGATCACTATACATGGAAATATCTTCATGCTGTAATGTATTATTATTATTAGTAGTCGTACTTACCGTAATTGGATATTGATGTATAGATTGAGTAGAAAACCAATCATTATACTGAGCCATATCTCGTGCCATATATTGTAAAGTAGGTAATACCTCATGTACACATCGATGAATCCATAATTTTCTATCTTCACTCTCTCCATCCAATACTTCACGAAGACACAAAATATTAGATGCATGAGAGGCTGCAGAGGGAGAAGTAATAACGGTAATTTGTCCTTCACGTTGATAACGATCAATCCATAATTCAAATGTATTGATATTATTATTAGGAGAACTTGTTACACGATCACCCGCTTCTTTTGAAGTTCCGGATGGAGTCATAACAAGATTTTCTCGTGTATTTGTACGTTTAGAAGATCCTGAACCCACACGAGGACGTTGAGGTCCACTCGTATTTCCTGCCGTGTGGTTTTGAGGAGCAAGTATACCTTGATTAGGATGACTATCTACAAAATCCACAATAAGTCGTATATCCACATGATTGGACACTAATGTTTTTCTATTATTCATTAATAAGGCTAATAAACGTGGATCTTGTAATGCCAATATCACTGCAATATCTTTAACAGTTTCTTTTCCTTTTATTTCTTCATTCGGTATATGATGATGTTGTGGTGGTATTACTTCTTCTACTGTATACACTGGAGAAGGAATTGTAGTTGCGGATATCTCAGATACTGTACCAGGTGTTATTGTCTCTTTATTGCCTATGCTCTCTGTATCGGTATTCGTTGTTGTTGTTATTATTGTTGGATTCCCATGAACTGCAGTTGTATTCTCTATTTCTTCTGTAATGATTTGTAAGGCTCTTTGTAGATTTGTACAGAAATCCGATGAACTTCCACGATGACTAGAGGCAGTTACACTACAAGTATCATCCTCTCCAACCTCAATTTCTGGTAGTTTGTGAATAAACACTAATGGTACTTCCCACTGTGGACTCTGCAGAACACTATACCAATCACATGGTTGTCGTAATAGTCCACCTGCAAATATAGATCGTGTTGTATCGGTTGAAGTTACACTACCAGAAGGTAGTTTTGGTAATAAACTCGCTGCTGCTGCTGCGGCGGCGGTGGTTGCTGCGGTTAATGCGGCTGCTGCCTTCTTACTACCTTTTCCCATTTTTCCACTTCTTCCTGTTGGAGAAGCGGCCATGGTGTTATTATTGTTACTATTACTGCCATTCATAGTGGAGGAACCAGCGAATGCTGCGTTTAGTGCGGCTATTACAGTACTCATTGGATCTCCATCTATTCCATCCTTTGTTGTATTTGTTGTTGTTATTGTTGAGGCAGTTGTGGTGGATGGTGGATCTCTCAATGATGTGGAATGAGATTGTATAGATGTTAACGTTGTGTTTGGTGGAATGAGGGCAGCAGCGTATGCAATGATGGCACTTAGAACCTTTAAATCAAAGGTGGAGTTATCACTGCAGAGTGTGATGAGACGGCAGGTACGTTGTTTTGCTTTCCGCTCAACAGTAGTCTTCATTGGTGGTAATAATAACAATAATAATAATAATAATAATAATAATAATAATAATAATAATAATAATAATAATAATACAGTATAATGATAATAATAATACGAACAGTCAAGGGATACTGAAATAGTACTAATAATAAGAAAAGACTAATTCTGTGTGATGGTAATTATTTCACAAATATATACATATATATATATATATGTATATATATTTCTATAATGCCTGTCTATTATGTTCAACCACCCTTCCCCACACCCAAGGCTTGGGTAGAACCACGACAGAAGTAGCTATATATATATTTATATAGATAGATAAGAGTAAGAAAAGAAGAAAAGAGTACAGAGAAAAAATGTACACACACAAAAAAAAAAAAAAAAAACAGAGAGAAATTCTAATAAAAATGGTAATGATGCTCTGTGAGAGCATTCGTCCAACACACACTCACATTCACATTCACATGTACATGCGTATGTGTTTGTTTGTGTGTGTATGGTTAACGCCAAAATGGAGAAATCAAAAAAAAAACAAAACAAAACAAGAAAAATGAGAAACAAGGTATCCAAACAAGCTGCTGATGTGGAAACAGTAAAACAGTACAGGCGAAATAAATATCGAGAGGGTAGAGAAGAAACAAATAAAGAAAAACACAGACCCATATGTATATAGTATCAAACGTGTCTTTTTTTTATTCTTCCTCTACTACCTTTTCTCTCTGTTTGATATTTATTCCTTCCGTATACTTCCTCTCACTGTTCCTTCTTCCCATCATCCACACCACCATGCGCGAAGACAACCAACGAATAGAAACAAGAAGAAGAAAAAATAAAATTAAAAAGAAGAATAGTGATAATCCTCACATACAAACAAGAGACACCAAACAACCCAAAGTTAAGTATATATATATATATATATATATATATATATATATATACCACAAAGGCCTTTTGTATAGTCTAATGCTTCTTCCTTCTTTACTTCTATCTTCTTCTCCCATTATTACTACTACAATCATGATGTCTAAGCCACGACTGCGCGCTTCGTGTTCTTCTTGACAAAGATAGCACGATCCTTGCGAGCCGCCTTGACACGGCGCTGCAGCAGTGGGAAGGACAAGTCCTTATCGTGATACTGCTGCACGCTGAGG